CCTTTTGTATTATGACTAAATTGCTCCGCAAATTGATGTTTGCCTTATAAAACAGGGGTGGGGGTTTTTTTAAAAGCCATATATATATATTCATATATAGGGGCTATTCTTGTTTCAGTTTTAATAATTTCTTAGGGAAACATATATCCCTTATAGATTTAAATCATGTGCTGGAAAATTCACTAGGAAATACAATTATACTTGCTTAAGCAACACTCCAATCAGAATATTTTTGATTTACAGCGCCCATTAATGCTGAGATTATCTCAGTTAAAGATACTTTTCACTTGCTCCAATATTTCCCCTTTTCCTGTTATTCATAATTACTTGCAAAGACTAACTAACTAACTATTTAAGAAGTATCTGGTAATGTGCAGAGAATTTAAATGACGGAAAATAAATATAAGTAAGGAGAGATGCAATCAGTGTCTGGATAGAGACAATTGGGCGGTCGATAAAATGAAACGGGGTAATATCAAAGAAAATATGACATATTAACATTTTCGATTCATTTGTAAATGAAAGGTTTCCTGAGGAAGAGTAGGGTGATTGATTGTTCAAATTGTGACCACTTTAATTTTCAACATTATTCATTTGATGGTTATATTTAATATTTGTTTGTGTGTTATTGATTAACCCCAACGCTCGGGGACAAAGTCGCGTCGAGAATTTGTGTGGGAAGTTTAGTTTGAACCATAAATCAGAGTTTGATTTTGGCTCATTTCGAACTCTACCCTTTAATAGTTTTAGTACGCATTCGCTTTGTTGTTTTTTTGGTTCGATGGCTGCTGTTGGGCGGATAAAAATATCCAAACATTTTCTGCATCACTAAATGCCCATAAAATGTACATAGAGACATTCATGCAACAAACTGTCCTGTGGACAGCAGCAGAGCCGGAGGCATGGTGCGGCTAGTCGAGCATAAAAACCGGGAAAAACAGCGCTGGGAGTTTCCCCAAAAATATGCAGTGAGCGAGGGAGCGAGATGCCAGATAGAGCAGTCAGAGTGCGAGAGAGACGAGGATAAGCAGTTGGGATGTTGGCGCATATAAAGTCACTAGCATTTTTATGAGTCGTAAATCGAAGCGATAAAATCACATGACCAAAACAGAGGGCAGCCATCATGGTGGCCGCACTCTTCGCCTGCTCGGCCAAGCTAAGCACAGCTCAGCTCCAGTCTGTCCAGCTGTTTGGTGTGTATTCTCCATAAGTCACACGATAAATTTTGCAACATTGCGCTAATGACAACAGTACCAGATGGATCAGGAGCAGGAGCAGGAGCAGGAGAAGGAGAGAGAGAGCTGTTGCTGCATTGGCAGCAGTTGCAATCGCTGAAAGTCGGCGCCATTTTGCGACTACAAACGACGGAAGTTCATTATTGTCAGTGATTAATGACAAAACAGACGAGGAGCAAAACCAAGACTCCGAAGCAGGGGAAGCGTTGCCTTTGCGGATGCCACATAAGTTAGCCAACCAAATGCGCTGACAACGAGCAACGTTGCCCGGTTGTTGCTGCTGATGGCAGTCGACCCTAAGTCTCTCCCTCTTTGACATTTATGGGTTTTAGTACTTCCGGCTAAAACAAAAAAATGCGAATGCGAGTGCGTTGGATTGCCTAGTAACTCGGCCGAGGACCGGGGCCTTGGAGCAGCGTCAAGTTGTTGACATCCCTGAATGCCATTGAGTGAGTGCGCCTGCCGGCGAGTGTGAAGCATTGCCTGTACGGGCTGAATGATTAGCGCGCTGATTTGGCAAACGATCGAGTGCAAATTGGGATAAAGCAGGCAACAGGCACACAGAGGGGCGAGGGGCAAGTGGGCAAGCACTCAAGCGGAGTCGACTTGCTGCCAACTTCTAACTTTATCCTTGGCTCCGGCGTTTCAGCTATGCAGCGTTAAGCGCCATTGACAACGGCACGCACGCCACACCGTGCTGCTAGGATGACGAGGAGCACGTTGGGCTCGTTGCAGGACTCTCGGCAGGGTAGGGTTGCGTATGACTCCCGCAGTACGACAAGTGAAATTAATTTCAAACAATGCAACAAACAGAAGACAACAGCCAGCAAGCAGCATACAACGACAGTCGAGCAAATTAAATAAAAATTCCAACACGAACAACACAACAGACATTGAGCAGGAGCCGGAAGCCGGGAGCAGCAGCAGCTCGAACTGTGACAGGAGCATGAGCAGGAGCAGGAGCAGGATCTGGGGAAAAAGTGCTCAGAAGTTTTCATCATATGGCGCAGACCGTCTAACTGCCGCTACGTGCCAAACGGAATGGAGGCGAATGCAAATAGCTGCCGAAAAGCTGTTAAGAGCCAAAACAGCCAACTTGTCCAAAATTATTTCATTTTAATTATGCCAAAGGGCACCCAACGGATCCAAACTGAACTCAACTGAACTAAGCAAAACTGAACGGAACCGAATAATGCTTCGGGACGTGTCGAAATGTGTCGCCATTTGCATGCACAAACGAAATCACGTCACAGCCAGAAGGTGGCCATATTTACACACACATAAACTCCTTAATACAGCCACGCCTACTCGACTCCTACCTACTCAACAACTTGCAGCCACCCACAACTTTAGTCGTCATTATCAATTTGACTTAATTGCCGCCACTGTCGCGTCGCGTCGCCTCGAGTTGGGGCATAAAAGTTTATCTTCCTTTCGCGTGATTCGTGACTCGTGAGTCGTGAGTTGTGAGTCGGCTGCTGACTGCTTAAAAGCGTTTAGTCAAAATGTATTTGTATTACAAGGCGACAGCCACTCCACGCTGCAATGACTTAGAAATGTTGAATTATTAAATTACAAACTCGGCACATTATGTCATTAATTTGGCACAGCATCTGCGAGAGGTGCAAAAGTTATACTAGATGCTGCTCAGGTAACAAGCAGCGCGTGCAATTGCAATTATTTATATTTTATTTTATTTTTATATTATTATTTAAGAGCCTAAAATTTCCACTGTACTTAGCTTATAGATGCACGCTAAAATGGGATTTTTTTTTATTTTATTAATGCGGATTATCATTTACATTAATGCGATCCTATGGCTGGAAATGATGCTGGCGAAAATGCACTATATATATCGATGATAGGTATCAAAGAGATTATTTGAGAATACACTCTGGTTAAGGAGGTCATTCGGTGTTGTGTCTTACTCTTAAGGATTTCATACCCTTTGACACTTTTCACTGATGCCGATGTTTCTGTATTCCCATATGTCTTCGGACTGTTCCTAATTATTATACGTAGTTGTCCTTTTCATATTTATTGCATTCCTCGTATTTTATTACTCTTAAATAAGTCTCATATTCTTTTTAGGTCTTTGATATGGATCATATTGGCACTTTGAAGAAACTGATCGAATGTCACAAGTGCAATGCATATTCTACTTATGAAATGCAAGCACAGGTCTGGCCTGGTCGTACCCAGCACGGAGTTGATACTGGTATACATGATAGCGTCTACTGCAAGCCCACTCCACTCATTTTCAAGCCACTTCTGATGAAACCTTAAGCCATTTCTCGCCAGTTTTAATTGAATTTCAGTGAAGCCAGTTGCCGTATAGATTGGAGCTCTATAAAAGTCGTTGAGCCCTTCGCTTGGCAGCACAGTTTCCATTCGCATAGAAGATGATGGCGTCGGGTAGGTCCTGCGAGCTGGTGATACTTGTTTTGCTCATATTGGCCAGTTATGCCTGCATCTACTTGGAATTCTGGAAACGTAAGCTCTGCTGTTCTGCTGCTGGTTAACTTATCTCATTTGGTCCTCTCACCCACAGCCCGCTGTATGAAGCCCTTCGTGGAGATCGGCGACAATTGCTATTTCTTTTCCACCAACAAAGCTGTGCGTATGATACTATATGTCCTGACTATTTCCTAGTGCTGCTAACCAATTGTATCTTGTAGCCCACGTATGAGTACTATAAAGTATCGTATAACGGCCGCATCTTCAGTGTGCCCGCCATAGTGAGTCTCCTCACGGAATAACCTTCTTCTAAACTCTTCAGGGCTATCTTCTCCTCTTCGTATTCTCAGCTTGACTGGCTGCATGCCAGCTTCGCCTGCGAGACACTAGACGCTAATGCTAGGCTGTTGACCGTCAGGACCGCCGAGGAGATGCGCTACCTGTCCAACTACATTGGCCGATATGCTCACCCTGGCACACATCCGTTCTTCTGGAGCGGCGGACATCGCGGCAGTCTGGCCCAGCTCGAAGTGGACCATAGTTCATTGGAGCGTTTTTACTGGCACCACGATCCGCATCCCATGAACTTTTCAAACTTTGTCGAGCAGCAGACGAACTCAACTCGCTTTCCTTCCGGCTTCTGTGTTTACCTGGAGTATGTCGGATCGGAACTAATTATGGCCACGGCGAGCTGTAAACAGAAAATGGCATTTGCCTGCGAGCTACAGTTGTTGAATTGACGTCTATTCAAGAGAACTCTCATGCTTTGAATTTATAGAAATCAGGTTTGCAATTGAAACAAATTTACTTTATATAAAAACTATTTGTATTACGCCTAATTGATTGACTAATATAGTTATATGGAAAGAGATAAAAAGTATGCTAAATTGTCTTTCATTTTTGTGCTTGATTTTGCGTTTGCAGACCAACCTAATGTGCTTTGCTTGAGTTTTAAAACGTTCACAAGTGCTCAGAGTGACTGCATCTCTTTCTTTTTTGTACTCGAGGCTTGATTAGATTTTAAATCTATTGAGAGCACTGAGAGTAAGGCAAGGCAGTGGGAGCTAGGCAAAAATAAGCGATGCCTCTCTATCACACTCAGAGATTTACGGTCCCGATCAAAATTCGAAGTCTTTGTGGGACTTACAGGTTATATGTATGTATGTATTTATGGCTATCGATTGTTTACTGCGCTGTGAATCAGTTCACATATATGATAATCTTATCTGACTTAGCTGTCTGACTCTTTGTACGTATGTATATAAACACATCGATTTCCGTTTAAATTTCAAATAGTTGCGATAAAGATTTCAAATAAACTAAATAGTTTTATTTAATGTTTGTTGTTTAATTTTTAAGCAGTTGCTCTTCTTCAGGTACCGCTCTTTTTCTTTTGATTAACGTATATAAGAACACTAATATGAGTATCACAAGTATCGAATAAAACGGATTATATAAATTGGTAACTAACCAAACACTTATCGTTTCATATTCACATATATAAAACTGATCAAAGCCCCACGATGTGACCATAAACAGCTCCGAGTTGACAAGCTGCAGGCTCAAAAACGAATTGAGCGGAGGACCCTCGCCGGGCAACCACTTGGTGTACGTCAAGCTCTTACCTAGCGCACTCCACTTGAAGGGATATTCACTTTCGAAACTGTGACCGGATGTGGAGAACATGCTTCCATTGGCATAGCCCTGAGCCAATATATAGTGCTCCAGTTCAATCAACTGCTTGGCCGTCTGCACGGATACGAGTTGGCCGCCTTGAGCCCGACAACTGCGACGCGCATCGAACCAGTCGAATATTTGCTCATCCTGAAACAACAAGCACCAATCAGCCTATTGACTGCGGGATCTATAAACATGGCTTACACTGTTCCCCTTGCCTATGAAGTAGTGAGAGTCGCCGATCTTTTCGTACGTGTAACCACATTGGCATGCTTTAGCTGCTAATAAAAGGAGCAAGATCCGATCGCAATAGCTTTTGCGCATTCTTTCGTCTTATCAACTCGAACGGCAACACTTAAATCAGGCGTAAAAAATAAAAATTCGTAATTTCATACTACAATACATTCAGTAAAAATGGCAAACTCCATTGAGTAATAATGAGTATTTCTAAAAAGAGCTTTTGATCCAAACGCCTTCTCTTTCGCTTTATTACTCGATGCTCAATGGCAAACGCAAAATTTGTATTACTCAATGGCGCACAATAAACAAAGCCCAATCGATAAGCACGTCAAGAGTCCACTTCAGGCCGTTAAAAAGATTGTCGTTCAGTGCATTATGGTTGGCTCATTGGTGAGCAGCTGCTCGCATATGTCCACGGCTCGGGTGTAGCAGGATTCGGTGGACATGAAGAGCTCTCCGGCCTGGAGAGTGAGCAGCATGCAGTTGCGACCCATTCGTGGCGTGGGCTCCCCCTCCAGCCAGTTGGTGTAGTTTATGCTGCGGGCATGTCCAAAGTAATTCCAATAGAACTGCGAATCGCCCGGCCAGCGATGCCCGGCGCTCCAAAACTGCGTGCCATTCTGGTAGCCGCTCTCGTACAGATAATTGGCCAGGACGCGCATCTCCTCCTCGCTGTCCAGGCAAACGCGCGACGTGCGCTTCTCCTGGTAGCAAAAGTCGCTGAACGAGTTGGGCTGCGATGTGTGTGTGTGTGTGTGTGTGTGTGTGTGTGTGTGTGTGTGTGTAGATAGTAAAATGTCAGTTCCATGCGAGTCGGACTAGGCTGCTACTGACCAGGGGACTATCGTCGTCTATGAAGTAGCAATAGTTGTCCTGCACCTTCTCGTAGGGCAGCTTGCAGCGCATCGCATCCGCCAGCCGGAGCAGCACAGCGAGTCCCAGGCAAAGCAGCGCCAAGCGGCGCCCCAATTGGCAGCTGTTAGGCATTGAGGCAGACAACAAACTAACCTGTTCGCTTATCACCAGCCGAGTTGTCTTGATAACAAAACGTTATAGCCGCTATCTAATCAGCTCTAGCCTAGGTTTCGTATGCGAATGCGAAACTAGTTTGAATCGATCCCCATTCCGTATTTGCCTACTGATAACAATTACTGAACATGAATAGATCAAACTGTATTTTGATGTGGCGCCAAAAGTTGTGGAATGCCTCTGGAATCCCCATCTCATGGATATGTGTATCCTTTCTATATATATCTGTCAATTCTCTCATGTTTTTTTTTTTTACTTTTACCTATAACTGATCAAGCATACACTAGACTTAAAATTTTAGCCTTAAAATAATATTTTAACTAATCGATTTATTTACGAATATTTGGTTGAGTGCTTATCAATAATCGATCAATCAGTCAGGACAACCATATCTATATCTATAGATATCTAGCAGGTATTATGCGTGCTTTAAATTGTATCTAACTTTTTCACCCGTTTTCCACCCGTTGAAATCTAAAATTATATTTTACATAAATATTCAAAAGTAAAGAATTAAAAGTTGTGATCAGTATTTTCCGCCCAAAATATTCATTGGTTAAAATAACTATTGGCCAGCATTTTATATCCAAGAATGGTGGATTTTGCAAGAAACGTAGAAATGAGTTTCACGACGGATCGATGAAAAGCAAAAAAGTTGCCAAATATCCACCGAATTTCCACATTTTTCGATTGAATTTCCGAAATCGTTGAAGCAACGAAAGTTCATTTGAAGCCGAACGGACTAAACTTACAAATTCAATCAAAAAATCATTGATCCGTATTTTCCAGATTCTGAAAAAATTTAAGACGCGATTCAAATGAATTTCGCAAAACCCCGTCGAAAAGTGCATCTTCAGAATTTAAGGTTATTACAGTAAAAGTTTAAAAAATTTTTTAAATCGTTTTTTTTTAAACAATTTATTCTAAATTGTGGTATACTATATTTTAACTGCTAACTTCACCTAAGCAATCAGAATCCACAAATGCACGCATTCCCCTACTCATGAAAACTGTACTACGCACCGTCTTATGTGTTTTTTATGACACTTTCGTAGACTCTTCACGCTAGATGGCGCATGCAATAAGTTTTATTGTGGTATTTACTTTTGCTTCACATCCACACTGTAAAATCAACAGGAGAGCAAAAGAGAAAACCGTGCAGCGCACTGTTGTCGTTGCAGTTAACAGAGGCGCTACTCTTCGCTCAATGCTCAACTGAATGTTTCTTTTATAATTAAAATAAAAATCTCGCTGACTCTATTGTCTTATTAATATTGATATTGATTATAGAGTGAAATAAAAACAAAACATATAATAAAAACAAGGTGAATATATTAATACAATGTTTAAATACAGCGCGCCAAGCACAAAACAGCTGTTCTAACAGCCACTTTGCAGATCGTTAACATTTTAGGTAACTATTTCTGTTAGCTAACAACTTTTGCGTTAACAGGCCTGTTATTCATAAATTTTCTGTTGAGCAGTGTGGTTGTTGCGGCCGGTAAATGCAGAGAAAATTGAGAAAACAGATAAAACTCGCGTCTAAAATTGTGTTAAATATTAAGTTAATGGGTTGTGTCAAGTGTTAAAATACCATAGCTTCTTGAATGTCGCCAAAATCGCACTTTTCGTTTGCTTGTGCGACGCCGCTGTTATAACATTCTGCCGTTCGCTGTTTTCTCTGCGCGTGTGCTTTGCCTCGCATTCGTTGTCTCCTCGATTGTTTACGAATTTGTGTGCGTGCCTAAATGTGTAAAAACTAGCGGAAAATTACAAATTTTTGAATAAAAATGCCAATTAAAAGCCTTAAAACAACAACAAGCATGACAGGCAACAACAACAAAATGCTGCTCGCGTTGCTTGCGCTGACTGCGCTGCTCCTGAACAACGGCAGAGGCGTCGCAGCGCATTTGAACGTGTTCCTGAATCCGGAAGAGGTGATGCGTTTGCTTGGTAAGTTCCACACCCTTTGCCCTTAAAATCGTGCCCTTTGTTATTGATTTCTCCACTTGAGCGACAATAACAACAACAACAATGTTAAGCAATTAGCGATGCTCCATTTGTGTCAACCAATTATGCGGCAACTAAAGTTTTCTAAATTTTTCATTCAACGAAAAATGAATTGCTTTTCGAAATGATGTTGATTTGTTTGCTTTGGCTTAATTTTAGAAGCGCACTCGCTCTCTTTCCCGTTCGTGCATTCTCTCGCTCTTTCACGCATGTCGCTGCAGGTGTTGTTAAACAGTTATACAAATAAACAAATAACAAGCAAAAGTAAATGCAAAAGCAACAACAACAAAACTGTTTCTTCTATGTGCGTGCATACATACGTACATAACTTTCAGTTGGTTCGTTAAGGAATTTTACGCTTCGTAAAAAGAAGCATAAGCAACAACGAAAACAAAAATTTACAAGCAGCATTAAATTTATTTCACTGCCAGGGAATATTTTTGAATATTTCTGGGAATTGAAATTCCAATACCAAAAAAAAGGGCACACACACATAGTCACACAAGAGACACGCAAACAAGATGACAAGGCAAAGGAAACAACAACAACAACAACAACAACTGCAACAACGCTGAAACACAGGCAAAGGCGAAACGTGACTTGGAGCAGCCGCAAACGCAAGCGCTGTATTGGAGAAGTGTGTAACAGGGGCAAGAGCAGGACCGTCTGAGAGAGAGAGAGAGAGAGAGAGAGAGAGAGAGAGAGAGGCAGCAGCAGAAGCCAGAACACAGGCATCTTCGTCAGCTGTGCGTGTTTGTGTGCGTGTCTATTGGCCATTGGTGTTGGTGTTAGTATTGGTGGGGGCGCAACTGTGCACAGTGGGCACAAAAGGACATGCATATTGTATGTAAATTCGACGAGAAGCTAAAGTTTGGAAAATCAATTATTTGTTTTATATTGGGGACAAGTAAACGCTAAGCTAGATGATATTATTTTGTGTTAAATGTTATAGGTTGCAACATGTATCGATCGTGGATTGATTCAAAGTCTATTGTTCAGAGACTTCCGATATTCGCCTAACAGATGGGAAAATGTATAGCTTAATTTATAAGAGATTGAGAGGAAATGTTCAGAGTTGGAAGAGTTTAATATATGCATATATTTAACTAAACATAAACTTAAAAACATGCAGAACATAAATTTTACATATGCTTCGTATACATTTTGTATAAATATACTTTTAGTTTCCGTTTCTGTTTGCTCACAGTTGAGACAATTTTTAAAAATCGTTTTTCCCTTTCTAATCTACTTTTTTATATTTTTTATAAAAATACACATATATAATTTTTTTTTTTATAAAATAAAATGTACATTAGTGTACGAACTGAAACCTCATCTATGACACCTTGAAGTTCATCAATGGTAGTTTGTTTATGTTCGTCCTTTGGGTCTGGGCATGTTTAGCATGTCTGAGCCCACTGTGCGAGGGCTGTCGCTTGGCTTAGCCCTCGTATATTTGGCAAGTCTGCAATTGCTGCCGCCCACTGTGTGCTCTTGTTGTTGTTGTTGTTTGGCATGCTGCCTGCTTGTTAAGTTTAGATAAAGTTTTTTTTCCACTTGCCATGTGTGGGAGCTGCATTTTTTCTGTTGCCGCCGCCGACGACGACGATGCGCATAATTTGCGTATGCATTTTGAGTTTTGGGCGTGAAATCAAATATGCAAAGTATCGTATGCTTGGATTTGGATTTGAATTTGGATTGGGATTGGGATAGTCAGGCGTCGGGCTGTGGGCCGTGGGCTGTGGGCGCTTTACGCGCATTCCGCTTTGGCCCTTTCAGCCATTTTGGGCGCTGCAAGCCAAGCAACTGGGCGACTAATTAAGACAAAGCTGCAAAGTTTGCAGACTGGACAAATGCTCTTTTTCTTGTGCCTTTTTGATATATGCGCGCAATAACGAGAAGCGCTAAGCCATAAATCAATTAGGCAGTATAATTTGCATTTGATTTGTGAGTCTTTTGGCAAAGGGGTTGGCCAATGTCCGCAGCCGAGCTGAAACTCATCTGCGGCTCGAATACATTTTTATTTCCATTGCATTTTATGCCCAAGCAATGGGAGAACAGCAACTCTCATCCCCACAGGGAGTCGACTTGGCTCTGGCAGAGTTCAATGCCGCTCGGGTTCATTTTTAAGCCTTTAGTCATAAAATTGCCATATGAAATATAATCAGCCAGAGCTGGGCAGGGCCTACACGATCGATCGGCTTGTTGTCATCTGAAAAATATTTTATTTCCCGCCGCAGCTCCCCAACTCTTTAACTCCCAAACACCCCACACAATTTGGTGCGCAAGTTTTATGTGTTTTGCTGCTGCTGTGACACGCGCTACATTTTAAAATGCCTTTTGCCAAGGCATTTTATTTAAATTGAATTTTAATGCCATTTTATTTTGAGCATTCTGGACAATTTTCGTAGATTTTCTTTTGACAACTTTTTACGACTTTAACGTTTTGAAATTTTCTTTGTCTCTTCCAAATGATTTTTATGGGCCCATTGTTCAGTGTTAATTTTTTTGGTGCTTTGGTTTAATTTTATTGACCATTTGTTGTGTGTTAATCATTGAGTATAGAGCTTACAATGCATGTTAATGAAGCTGCATTGTCAGATCAAATGCACAGAGAACTTCGTGTCTCTAGAGACTCTCTCGTTCGGAAGCTTTCCTGCAGCTTGCAACGCTCAAAAGCGATATGCCCGTTGAGCCGCGCCCACGCCTTAGCTTGGCAGTGTGATCGATTAGCGCAGCTGCTAAAGAGCCACAACAACAACAACGACAACAACAGCAACAATCTCATCAACAAGAGGAAATCTTGGGAAACAGCAATACAAGAGATAACAATCACACGAATGTGTTAAATTTACCACCAACTGTGTTAAATAAATTAAGCTCAGACCTGCCTTCAGAGAGAGAGACATAGCACACAACGTGGCTTGAATGAGGTTTGAAACGTGTTTAAACCGATTCTTTGTTTTCTTTTTGACCATTTACGATTTGCATAAATATTATAACTTTTCGGCGCGAGCTTAGTGGCGGGCCA